TATTATTATTGCAACAACGATTTTTGGAGGTAGATGGGGCTGGGCAGCAAGGGAAGAGTGTGGGAACCTTGGGCAATGGAGAAGAGGGGAGGAAAAATCCCTGCTGTGGTTAAAGGGACTGGGAGGAGAGGAGGCCATAGCCCCATCCCCACTGGGTCAACTGGGATTTTGGAGCCCTGGGAACGAGCATCTTCAGGTGAGATTCCTTAGGGAAGCAGCAGCAGCAGCCAGAGGGAGTTTAAAAAGCCCACAGGGTCTCATCCACGGTGTGAATGGATTCCAGACTTACTTTTTGATGAGGGAGGGGGAATAAATGAGCTGAACCTTTTGCTCCTGTTGCTGAGGAGCCCGGGACAACCAGCCAAGAGCTTTGTCCCCTCCGAGCAAGTCACTTTTCTCCTTGGAGGCAGCTCCTCAGCAGGTGGGGATCCTGCCGGGGCTCTGGGCACCATCTCCAATAAGAATGCCCAGAAATTGCTCCAGGGCATCCAGGCAATTCCCACCCTTGGCCATCAGCATTCCCAGGTCACCAGGCAGCAGCAGATTTCACTCCGAGTTCCTCAGCAGGTGCTTTGTCTTTATTTGTCTTTATTATTTGTCTTAATTTGTCTTTATTTTCCTACTGCTTTTTTTTTTGTCCTGGTGGTTTGTTTTCTTTTCTAACAGGGGAGGAAAATCCCACCCCAGCTTCTTTCCTGATCCATAAAAACTTCCTGGCTTGGCAGGGGCACGAATCCCTCATGCAAAACACCAAAAACAAGCCCTAAAAAAACCCAACAACCTCACCTTTTGTTGATATTTTTGGTGCTGCTTTTCCTTTCTGCTTCACCTTGATTTTTCTCTTGTTTGTTTGGGTTTGGTTGGTTTTTTTGCCAGGACATCCAACCCACATTCCCAGACTGGGAAAGCAGGTGCTGGATGTGGATTTATCTCAACCCCCCCCCCTCCCCCCCCCCTTTGTTTTGCTTTTCTGAGGGTCCCCAAGAGGTTTACTCAATGGGAAGGGGGGGAATAAATAAGAGAAAAGCCTGAGACAAGCAGGTGAAAAAGCTGCTGGGGAGATGGGAGGTGGAGATGTTATTCCAGAGCTCAGGAAAAGGGAGCAGCAGCAGATCAAACCAGCTCTGTCCTCTCCTCAGCATCTCTGCTGCTTTGGTGATGTTCCCATTCTCCATCCAGCTTGGGGGGGGGGATCACTCAGTGAGCAAGGAAGAGCAGGGGTTGCAGAAATTGGGGCGGGAAATCAGCAATTTCTAAATTCCTACCCCATTTTATCCCTGCCCGTCCTGCTGGCAGGGGCTGCCAGGAGGTTGTTGGGGGTTGGTTCATCTGGGGCTGAAAAGGGAGAAGGTTTGGGATGGGAGAAAGATCCTCGAGTGAAGGGGATGGATGGATGGAGGGATGGAGGGAGGGATGGAGGGAGGGATGGATGGATGGAGGGATGGATAGATGGAGGGATGGAGGGATGGATGGAGGGAGGGATGGATGGATGGAGATGGATGGATGGATGGATGGATGGATGGATGGATGGATGGATGGATGGATGGATGGATGGATGGATGGATGGATGGATGGATGGATGGATGGATGGATGGATGGATGGATGGATGGATGGATGGATGGATGGATGGATGGATGGATGGATGGATGGATGGATGGATGGATGGATGGATGGATGGATGGATGGATGGATGGATGGATGGATGGATGGATGGATGGAGGGATGGATGGATGGATCCTGAGGGAGCTCCATGGTGTTTGTGCAGGGGTGAGTGAGGGAAAGAAATAGAAATGGAGCAGTTCCTTCAAATTCTGCCTGTAGGACCTGCCCCAGCCTCCAAGGGATGGGAAGGGGCAGAGTAGGGGGATAAACCTGCCCTGATCTCCCCTTCCAAGGGTTGGGAAAGAGCAGAGTTAGGGGGATAAACCTGCCCTGATCTCCCCTTCCAAGGGTTGGGAAAGAGCCAAGTTCAGGAGCTCAAGCTGCCCTGATCTCCAAGGGATGGCAAAGGGCAGAGTTGAAGGGATGAACCTGCAGATTTTCAGGTGCAGGTGGTTTCTGAGCCCCGTGGCTCAGCAGCAGGAGAGCAGGTCCAGGGTGACAGTTCCTGGGGACAGGCGATTGGATTTGGGATCAGCCTGGGGACATCTCCCCCCCTTGGGCATCAAGGTGGTGGCCCCAGGATGCCCACAGAGACACCCTGCTCCTCCAGGGGCTCCCCACAAACTCCCAGGTCCCTCCACGTTCCCAACCCCACGCGATGGCAGCTCACAGCCCCAAAACCAGCCGTGAGACCCCAGGTCCAGGCAGGGTCCCCAGCATCCCTGGGGAATTGTCCCCAGGAGCAGGGCTTGCTGTGCGACAGGCTTGCCACAAGATGGGGCCCGGAGATTGGGAATGCCAGGAGCTTGGAGGAGCCCTGTGGCTTCGGGGACAATCCTAGAATCACAGAACTATTCAGGTTGGAAAAGCCCCTTGGGATCATCCAAGTCCAACCATCATCCCTGCTCTACAGAGTCCTCCCCTCAACCACATCCACCAACACCACATCCAAACCACCCTTCAACACATCCAGGGATGGTGACTCCACCACCTCCCTGGGCAGCCTGTTCCAGGGTCTGACCACCCTCTCTGTGAATAAATCCTTCCTAATCTCCAGTCTAAACCTGCCCTGGTGCAGCTTGAAGCCCTTCCCTCTTGTTCTGTCACCTGTGAGAAGAGACCAGCACCAACCTCTCTACAATGACCTTTCAGGTGGTTGCAGAGACTGATGAGCTCTCCCCTCAGCCTCCTCTTCCTCACACTAAACATTCCCAGCTCCTTCAAGTGTTCTTCCTCAGATTGATTCTCCAGGCTCCTCCCCAGCTCTGTTGCCTCCTCTGTCCTTGCTCCAGCACCTCGAGATCTCTCTGGAATTGAGGTGCCCAAAACTGGATCCAAGACTCCAGGTGTGGCCTCCCCAGTGCTGAGCACAGGGGGACAATCACCTCTCTGCTTCTGCTGGTCATACTATTTCTGATACAAGCCAGGATGCCACTGGCTTCCTTGGCCACCTGGGCTTACTGCTGGCTCATGTTCAGCCTCTTCCCAGTTAGAACCTACCTGACCTCTCTGGACCCATTAGAACATTGATCTAAGCTCAGCATGGGCAAAGATCCCATCTTGAGGTCCCTTGTGGCCTCTTGGAGCCATGGGGCACTTCCCAGAGAGGCAGGACTGTGAGATGGGGAGGTTTTGCAGACCCAGGAGGGTCACCCCGAGGTTTTTGAGGCCTCCAGAGACCTGAAAATTACCAGATTTTAAGCAGGGAGTGATGGAGGGAGGGATGGAGGGATGGAGGGAGGGATGGATGGAGGGATGGATGGATGGATGGATGGATGGATGGATGGATGGATGGAGGGATGCTGTTGTGCTGTGATGTTTGGAGGTGTCCATGGAGTGGGGTGTGCCCCAAATGTGCCATCAGATGCACCCAAAGTGGACAGGGTGGGGGGTCCTGGGGATGGAGCCAGGGGGTAACAGGCAACCTTGGAGCACCCCAAGCCAGGGCTGGAGAGGTGACCATCATGCTGAATCATCCCTCCAGCACTGGGACCTGCCCACTTCCCATGCCCATCTCCACACCAGTTGGGTGAGTCAGGCAATTGCCAACTCCAGAGAGCACAGAAACATCTCCAGTGGCTTCAGGCTGACCAGAGAGGAGCTGAAAGGAAAACCCAGCTTTACAGCAGGTGGTGGGACTCGTGGTCACCCTGGGGAGGTGTGAGCAAGGTGGAGGGGGTTGAATGGAGCTGCCACAAGATTGCCCCAGGCAAGGGGCATGGTAGAAACCAGCTCTGCTGTAGCAGGCACTTGTGTTTTGGCAAAGCCAAAGCCTCTGTGGAAGCTGCAGCCTGGAAAACCACCTTGGACATCCCACTTCTCACCCAGCACCCCAAACCAGGGGCTAGGGGGTTGTACCTTAGAGGACAAAGCACCAAGGCAGCTTATTCCCACCTGCCCTAACCATACCAGGGGCTAGGGGATTGTACCTTAGAGGACAAGGCAGCTTATTCCCACCTGCCCTAACCATAAGATGGGAGTTAGGGAGGACCTGGGAGATAGGGAGGACCTGGGGGACATGGGAGGACCTGCCCTACCCATTAGATGGGAGCGGGGGAGGAGCTGGGAGGGGACCCCAGGTCTGTGGGATGTGGGAGGACCTGCCTTACCCATTAGATGTGAGCTGGGGAGGAGCTGGGAGGGGACCCCAGGTCTGTGGGATGTGGGAGGACCTGCCTTACCCATTAGATGTGAGCTGGGGAGGAGCTGGGAGGTGACCCCAGGTCTGTGGGACATGGGAAGACCTGCCCTACCCATTGGATGGGAGCTGGGGAGGAGCTGGGAGGTGACCCCAGGTCTGTGGAACATGGGAAGACCTGTCCTACCCATTAGATGGGAGCTGGGGAGGAGCTGGGAGGTGACCCCAGGTCTGTGGGACATGGGAAGACCTGCCCTACCCATTGGATGGGAGCTGGGGAGGAGATGGGAGGTGACCCCAGGTATGGGGGACATGAGAGGACCTGCCCTACCCATTAGATGGGAGCTGGGGAGGAGCTGGGAGGTGACCCCAGGTCTGGGGGACATGAGAGGACCTGCCCTACCCATTAGATGGGAGCTGGGGAGGAGCTGGGAGGTGACCCCAGGTCTGTGGGACATGGGAAGACCTGCCCTACCCATTGGATGGGAGCTGGGGAGGAGATGGGAGGTGACCCCAGGTCTGTGGGACATGGGAGGACCTGCCCTACCCATTAGATGGGAGCTGGGGAGGAGCTGGGAGGTGACCCCAGGTCTGTGGGACATGGGAGGACCTGCCCTACCCATTAGATGGGAGCTGGGGAGGAGCTGGGAGGTGACCCCAGGTCTGTGGGACGTGGGAGGACGAGGGGATGATGCCGCTCTGCCCCGCGCCCCATGGGAAGCTCATCTCTTCCTTCCCCTCCCTGTCTGAGCAGGCAGAATGTCCCAGCCCAGGCTGCTGCTCCTCCTCGCCCTCCTCTGTGCCACCCAGAGGAGCAGAGGGGCTCTCCACCTCTACGACACCAGCTCCTTCCTCAGCTGCCTCAACGCAGCCCTCGACGAAGCCCGGAAGAACCTCCCGGAGGAGAATTCCATCCTGGACAAACGTGGCTTGGACTCCCCCCTGCCCCAGGAGCCACCCGAGGAGAGGGAAGAAGAGGAAGGAGAGGATGAAGAGCTGGGGAAAAGGACGTTCCCAGGGCAAGGCCATCACTACACACACGTGTCCCAGGGGAAGGGGAAGAGCTCCCAGAGCCGCGCCAAGAGCGACCGCCGCGCCAAGGTCACCCTGTCCCTCGACGTCCCCACCAACATCATGAACATCCTCTTCAACATCGCCAAGGCCAAGAACCTGAGGGCCAAGGCTGCTGCCAACGCCCACCTGATGGCCCAGGTGGGGAGGAGGAAGTGACATTCCCCGGGGCAGGGAGGGCACCGGGAGCCGAGCCGGCTCCGTGGGGGCATCACCAGGTCCCGTCCTGCCCACCCGAGGGGACTGAGGGCCTGGTGTGACAGCAGTGTTGGGTATTTTTCACCCCTAGAGCTACCTGACTTTCAGATCTCTTTCTTCCTTCTCCCTCCTTTCCCTCCTCCTCCTCCATCTCCTCCGTCCCTCCTGCTGGGAATTCCCAGGGGTGGGGAGGAGGTTGGTGCCCGCAGCGGGGCGAGGGGGACGTGTGGCCTCAGGAAGGTCCCTAATTAAAGTGATGATCTCTTGAGTTTTCCAATGCTTTGTTCTCCCATCGTCTCCAGCTGGGTCAGCTCTGCCTGGGCCTCCTCCAAGCTCAACCTCACAGCCCCATCCCCACCAAAGCCCAGGTCCTGCTCCCTTCCCAGGTCCCCACACACGAACTCTCCCTTATCCACAACCATCACTGCCGTGGGGAAGGGGACAAGCCAGCTCAGGGGACCTCAAGAAGGGTGGTCCCAGTTCCTCCTCCTGGGGATTCTCTAGGTTATAAGGTTGTTCTCCAACCACCCCTTCCCTCAGCAGCACCTGCAGCTGTCACAGCTGGGACAACACCAGCCCCACACCCACGTGGCCCTTCACAAATGTCTCCAGCCCATCCGTTGACCTTGGCCATGGCCATGGGTGTGTTGGGACCCCAAGAGCTGCAGGTGCCTCCCTGGCTTCTCCCTGCACATCCCATGGGTCTGTCCATGTGAACAACCTACCTCTGCCCAGGCTCCCTGTCCTGGCAGACTTCTGCACCAACCCTGAGCCTTCACACAGACCATTCCCACTCATTCTGCTCTTCTCCACCATCCACTGAGCCCCAGCTCCCCAACTTCCAACCCTTTCCCCTTGAACTGTAAGTCCCTTCCTCCAAACCTCTCTTTCTGTTCCCCCTGCCCAGCTCAGCTCCAAGGTGAAACTGCATCTCCTGCAGGGGACAGGCTGTAGCCTGGGACTATATAGCCCTTGGAATGGGCTGTATGTGGTTTAATATCTTCTTGTAGGCTCTGCACATCCATCCCCCATTGGTATCTTGGGTTCTTGCCCAGCAGGACATGGACATTTTCCCTGTTTGACACCCAGGGAAAGGTGCCTGCTCAGATCTGGTCAGGGAAAGGAAGGTCAAACCTGCCTGGGGAACCAACTAGACACACTCTCATCCCTACGTGGGTTTGGCAAGAGGTGACCCCAGGTTGTCTAAGGAAGCCTTGGCACAGCAAGGAGAGACAGAGGGATCTGCTCAGAGCTGAGGGAGAAATCCTTGCTTGGGGCAGAAGGTAGAAGAGCTTATGCTCCCCAGTGAGGTCCAGTAAAGCACTGGCTGGGGCTAGAAATGGGGTCTTGCCCACCAGCTGCTGCTGTGGGGATCTGCACCAGCCTTGCTGGGGGTCCTTTCCCAGCACCAGGTTAGACAAGGAGAACATCTCAGCCCCAAGCTACTGCCTGGAAACCAAACATCACATGTCTAGAGCACACATGGGGTCTGTCTTCTGCTCCCCTCTCACGACAGCAACTAGCAGAGACACCAAGGGAGTGGATCATAGAATCACAGGATGGTTTGGGTTGGAAGGAACCTCAAAGATCATCCATTTCCAACCCCCCTGCATGGGCAGGGACACCTCCCACCATTCCAGGCTGCTCCAAGCCCCATCCAACCTGCCCTTCAACACTGCCAGGGATGGGGCAGCCACAGCTTCTCTGGGAAACCTGGGCCAGGGTCTCCCCACCCTCATAGTGAAGAATATGCTAATATCTAATTTAAATCTCCCCTCTTCCAGCTGGAAACCCTTCCCCCTGCTCCCATCCCTCCCTGCCCTTGTCCCAAGCCCCTCCCCAGCTTTCCTGGAGCCCCTTCAGGCACTGGAAGCTGCTCTAAGGTCTCCCTGGAGCCTTCTCTTCTCCAGGCTCAACACCCCAACTCTCCCAGCCTGTCTCCAGAGCAGAGCTGCTCCAGCCCTCCCAGCATCTCCGGGGCCTCCTCTGGCCTCTCTCCAACAGCTCCATGTCCTTCCTGTGTTGGGGACCCCAGAGGTGGCCCCAGCCCTGCAGGGGGGTCTCAGCAGAGCAGAGGGGGAGGGCATGGAGGAAGGGGAGTTCTTGGAGGCCAGGGATGACCTGGCTGCCCTGGAGAAGGATTACGAGGAGGTGGGGAGGGACTCGGTGGACGGAGCAGACGAGGAGGCTGAGGAGGATGAGTATTGACCAAGGTCCTGCGTCGGGGGAAACACCCGCCTGTGCCGTCGGGCTCCGCTGCTCCTGGGGGGCCTGGAGGTGCCCCAGGGTGGTCCTGGAGCTCAGGGCTCCTGTCTGATCTATTCCTGCCTTCTCTGCTTGCCTTGGTCTCTGTGCTCCTCGGGCGCCTGAGCAGCCTGGGGGGGCTGGAGCTCCTGGCGCTGCTGCCCGGGCAGGAGTGAAGCTGCCCAGGGCTGCCCTGGTGCTGGGGACACCT